CTCTCTCTCTCTCTCTCTCTCACTCACACTCACACTCTCACACACTCACACTCACTCTCACACTCTCTCTCTCTCTCTCTCTCTCACTCTCTCTCACTCACACCTAGGGACAATTTAGAGTTACCAATCAGTCTAACATGTTTTTGTTCTGTGGGAGGAAACCCACGCAGCACAGAGAGAACATGCAAACTCTACCCAGAAAGGCCCCCCCGCCGGGATATGAACCAGCGACCTGCTCGCTGAGAGGTGGCAGCTCTACCAACTGCGTGGCCGTGCTGCCTTACTCAAGTTATATGTGTCTGACAATAATACTTGTTTGTTGATCTGATACATGTAAGTGTAAGAAAAAAATCTATCAGATTTGTTCCCCATAGATATAGAGGTAGTTATTGAGGACTCACCTTCAGCTGGAGACACACTGCCATCAGCTGTGCGCACCAAGTGTGTAATCTTGGTCTTTCTAGCCTTCCTCTTCTGGCTCCCAACCAGCATCTCCATACAAGTGGATCCTGGAACATCTGGGAACATCATGGCCACAGCAACACATGATGTGGCTTTTGCAGCGGAATCCGGTGAGGTGGAGTCTAGCTGGACCTCTACAGTACCATACAGAAATTATAGAATTAATAAAACAAATATTTTTAGTGTTCTTAGTAAGACATTTCTGTAAGATTGTTTTTGATTCACACAGACAGAAGTGGCTACTTTGAAAGAAATCCCAAACAACCAAAGACGATAAATCACATTTGCACATATGTCCAGCTTTAACACCTGGAGGATGTGGATCAAAGTGATCATAAGACATGGCTGAAGATAACTGCTTATGAACTAATACTTTTTTAGACATATTTTGAGAGATTGCCTATGTGGAACTTGCAGCATTTTCAGTTGTGTTATGCTCAGAATGTGGGATTTAATTAAAAAATAATATTCAATTTGGACTTAATTGGTCCAGGGACCTTTCTGGGTGGAGTTCGCATGTTCTCTCCGTACATGCGTGGGTTTTCTCCGGGCACTCCAGTTTCCTTCCACAGACCAAAAACATGCAAGTTAACATGCATGATTGGTAACTCTAAATTGTCCCTAGGTGTGAGTGAGAGAGCGAATAGCTGTTTGTCTCTGTGTGCCGCTGTGATGGTCTGGAGACCTGTCCAGGGTGTCAGAGGGAGGGAGGGAGGATGGACTGTATTGAAATTAACCTGAATTGTCCTTTACTTATTTTGTAAAAAGCTTTGAGAGAACTTTAGCTGTAAACTAATATCACCAACATTAAACTCTGACATATGAATTATTCTAGTCTTGTGTTCAGTCGAGTGACCTCTGTTTGACGGCACTCCTTTTGCAGCTTTGGCTGTGTCTTCTTGGTTGGTGGAGTTTTCGGGCTTCTTTTTCTTAGCAACAGTGGTGCCCTTTTTATCAAAGGTCAAAGGGCTGTACTGTGGTAAGCTGTTAAATTTTCTTTCAAACTCCTCCTCCAGTTTCCCCAGGCTGAAAAATAAAGATCAGAGTTAGACAAAAGTCATTTATAATACAATATGCTGTGGAAATGATGATGGCCAAACAAATAAATATACGGAGGTATTCCAGAAAGAAGGTCCAAAAGACTGATTTTATCCATAACCTCTGAGGTTAACGTACCCTGAGGGAGTAAACACTGAGTTTTTAGTTCCAGAAGAGTGGTGAGAAGTACCTTTACTGTGCACGTGCACAATAAAAGGCACCAAAATCCTGATTCACTACGGCACTTGTAGGAGAAAAAAACATCCCAAGTGTTCCTCAGTACTCAGTCTGTTAATAGTGATGGGAAGCAGTTTACAAAAGACGTAAACGAGGTCACAGCTCTGATGAACGCTTTACTCTTTTCCAGAGCTTTAATTTATGTAGACTGTATTTTATAGAAAGCATTTTTTTATATACTTATGAAGAGTAATTACAGAAATGAAACGGGTCAAACTCCTCTAAAAGTAAATGAATTTACTGTATAAAGTTATTAGTCAAAATGCTAGTTTGTAAAATTTTGCCAAAGTTTGTATAAAAGACGGCCAATATCTGCATAAAGCACACAGCATCATGAAGGACCACACCTACCCAGTACAAGGACTGTTCCGTCTACTACCCATAGGCAGACGATTCTACTATGTTGTTGTTTAATATTTTTTTTCTTTTGGACCTTGCAAACATTATAATTACTTTTTCACTTTTTGGTACATTATTTTGTACCCTTTTTGAATGCTTTAGTATTTCTTGTTTGTTCTTTTGTTGTTTTAGTGAGTCAAATCAGTTCTTCTCATCCTGAATATTTTATTGTACTGTTAACTTTGTGCTTACATGCATATGACAAATAAACATAACTTGAACATTCTGTTGCCACTAAAGACACCCAAAACACTAAATGAGTACATCTGTCTAGAATTTGTAGGACGTATACATCATGTCTACTAACAACAAAAAATAAATATATAAAAGAGAAAGAAAATGTGCATTTGAACCACAGAATCAAAAAGTGGACTCAGAATTTGTGTTAATGAAATGCCAGCTCACAGGTGAAAGATGGTAATTGCTGGAATAATATTAGTTATCGTATTTGCACATGTAAGAAACAAAAAGCAAGTTAATAAACATGAAGTGACTTCTGTATCTCTGCTTCGTGGTTTTTCACTTATCGCTGGGCTTCAGGGTACGGATCCACCACGATAAACGAGGGACTACTGTATTGGATATGTGTGAGCGGAGAATGTTAGAGATAAATGAGTGAATCTGATCAAAAGTAATATTTAAACCAAAAACGTAACTGGTAAAGACAGCACATCCATTCTAAGTCAGAAAATCCTCTTCTACGTCACACATTATGAAGTAATTCTGCTTCTCAGTCCGATCGAGTAAAAATGAACAGCTCGCGTCCGATCATAAAAGTTTGACAAACTAAAACTCACATCAGACAGTTTGCTTCCGGTGGAGGTGCGAGTTGGACCATTAGAAACTTCAAGCTTCTTAGTGCAGGTGTACTAGTTCACAGAGTCTACTGCCATGGTAACAGGCTAAGATTATTTGACCCCTCTTTCTGGAACAAAAACTCAGACTTAACTAATTCACGGTTTTCACATAACCCACTTTCTGGAGTACACCTGGGCGGACACACAACTAACCACTGTGAAGACTCGTCTTTGGACTTGGACTTTTTCAGCTTCTTGGGATTATTGGGTCCCATCTGTGAAACTGCACAGCTGTCATGACTCCAATTAGTATCGTGGTCAAACGCACGAAAAGCTCCTCTTTTACCTGTAGAAATGGATCAAATATGAAAAAGATAATCAAAGTTTTGTGACTGCATGTGTTTAATTAGGTCATGCTTCATTTATATTAATGTTAAACATTTTGCAGCTGACTCAAATTAAATACCTCGATCAATGTTTGCTCTCAGTGAGGTCAGCATTCCCTCAGACACGAGAGTTTTATACAAGGCTCCTTTACAGCTGCGCTCTGACTTCCTGGAGCCACAGTTCTCTGCGTTCACCTGGTAGACTGCATCACTTGGCCTCTCCTTTTCTTTAATCTTTTCATTTTCCTCATCTTTAAACTTGGCAAGCGAGTGGCTGCAGTCTGATTGAGGGAGTTTGGCCACATTGGCCTGGAGGTCTGTGCTTTTCACCTTTGCTGCTTCTATTTCTGTCTTGAGGTTAATGTCAGACACTCCTTTCATCTCCACATTAGAGGACCCATCCAGCCCACTGCTGTCGGCCAGCTTCTCTTCTTTTTCTTTGAGAACAGTCTTATCTTTGGTGTTAGGTTTCTTTCTGAGCAGACCAGATTTTCCACCTGTAAGACTGGCATGGATCTTCTTGTTGGTTTTGTCTTCCCTGTCCATGCAGGCTCCTTTGGCCACTGCCTCTATCGTACTGAAGATACAGTCTATGTTTGACGCCAAGTGGTTGCACGTAATCTCCTTTGCTGAGGATGGGATCTCATCATTGTTTGACTCGGCCTCCTCTGCTTTCTTGTTCTTCTTTTTGACACGTGAACTTTGGCAGCTGTTTAGTGGTGGAATGGCATCAGTGGAGGTAGAAGTGACACAGGAAGGAGAAGGACAAAGTGCTGATGTGTGAGTTGGAGGACAATGATCAGTGTCAACTCTCTCCTCTTTAATCTCTGGCTTCATGGGTATTTGCTGTAGTGAGGCAAAAAAGGAGTGGTCCTCTGGCTGAGATGCAACCGTGTCCATTTTTCCAGCTTCCGATGATAAACACATCTAATGGAAATGCAACAGAAACACCACAGTAAACAAAAATATAGAAAATGACAACAATCAGTGCAAATACTTTCATATGCTGAGTTTTTTTTCTAAAACTAGTTGAAACAATCCTTTGTTCGTATGCCCTCACTCACTCTTTTTTTATACCAGTAATCAGATAATAAACATAAATTATAATACTAAACATCCCCCCATCTCTCATAATACATTGAGATAGAATAGAATAGAAACAGCCTTATTGTCTCACGGACGGGAAATTCAAATGTAACAGCAACAACAGATAAAAAGATTTCACACAAAAGTTCCTAAATGTTAATAAACAACACAATATATAAGAAATAAGATAAACAATGTCAATAATAATGTTCAATATGTATTGGAACATTGATAAGGACAGAGTATTGACAGTCCAGTGTTACAGGCAGAGTGTGTGTTTCAGCAGAGGTCAGCATGTTTTTAATCCTTGTAGAGTTTGTTGGAGCAGTGATGGTTGTAGAGTTTAACAGCTGCTAATAATAATAATAATAATGAATTTAATTTGTAATGCACTTTTCATTAACAAAAATCTCAAAGTGCTACAGAGTGCAACTAAAATCAATGATAAAATCAACTAAAATCTGTGATAAAATCAACTAAAATCAATGATACAATCAACTAAAATCTGTGATAAAATCTGCTGCTGCTGGAGGAAGGACCTGCTGGAGGAAGGACCTGCTGGAGGAAGGACCTGCTGGAGGAAGGACCTGCTGGAGGAAGGACCTGCTGGAGGAAGGACCTGCTGGAGGAAGGACCTGCGGTGACGCTCCTTTGTGCATTTAGGAGCAGGAACCTGTCACTGAACGAGCTCTCCAGTTCAGCAGCAGCTTCATGGGGTGGAGACGTTGTCCAGCAATGATGTTATTTTAGTTGGAGTCCTTCTGTCTCCCACCACCTGACCTGGGTCAAGGGGGCGTCCAAGCACCGAGCTGGTCTTCTTGATGATCTTATCTAGCTGCTTCTTCTCAGCTGATGATACGCTGCTGCTCCAACACACAACACCATAGAAGAAGGCTGATGCCATTATCGAGTCAAAGAAGGTCTTCAGGAGTACCCCCTGCACTCCAAAAGACCTCAGTCTCCTCAGCAGGTAGAGTCTGCTCTGACCCTTCCTGTAAAATGCATCAGTGTTGTGAGACCAGTCCAGTTTATTGTTCAGGTGAACACCCAGGTACTGATAAGAGTCCACAATCTCGATGTCCACTCCCTGGATGTTCACCGAGGTCATTGAGGTGGGTCTGTGCCTGCGGAAATCCACAACCAGCTCCTTAGTTTTAGCAGCGTTGATCAGGAGGTGGTCCTGCTGGCACCAGTCCACAAAGTCTTGAGTCCGCTGTCTGTACTCTGAGTGGTCCTCACCTGTGATGAGGCCGACTGTGGCAGAGTCAGAGAACTGTTGCAGATGGCAGTGTGGGGAGTTGATGGTGAAGTCTGCAGATGTACTTTAATCAGAGCAGGGGTGGAGAATCCCAGGCCTTGGGGCCGTATACAGTTCTTTGAACCCTCTTTTCTGGCCTACCAAGCGATTTCAAACATAAAAACAAAAACTTTTTAATAAAACTTGAGAGGGTAAAAACGACAACCAGTAGCATTTCTGTGATAAGAGTATTGAATACGGCGCATTATACGTCCATCGACAAACTCTCATACAGAAATACAGCAATCTAATACAATAGCCCAAACAAGAAAATACCTTGTATTATCTTTGACCTTGACCTGAGAGATGGGGTGATGAAAAGATTATGTGACAAGCTGTCTAGCAGTAGTAGAGACGTGTATCAAGTTTTGGTAAATTGTCTTGAGCAGATCAGAAGTTCTGGACCAGACAAGCAACGACCTTGGTTTAACTTTGACATTGAAGCTGGGTGATGAGAAGTGGATGCAGCACTTTGTTTAGTGACAATTCATGTGTGTATGCAATTTTATTGAATAATCTTGAGTGGATCAGAACAGAACCGAGCCTCCCCCATGCCTCACTGTAGTTAGTGCTCTTTCCTTTGTACCTTTGTGCATGTCAGGATATTTCCTTTGTACGTTTCATTTTGGGGTCTGAGAACACAGAGAAGTTGTTCTGGGTTCCTTGGTTACCATTTGTATTATATGTCTCCTCAATTTGTCATCAATATTTTTCTTGGAGCCAGATTCAGGGAAGTTGGCTACAGTCCTGTGGACCTTAAACTTCTGAATAATCTCTTCAGCTGTGGTCACAGGAACATCAAACTGTTGGAGATGGAATCAAAATGCATGCTCAATCATCCAGGTACAAAATCCCATAATGGTCAATTAGGGCATCTGGGCAGGAACCTG